GACTCCCGCAGAGGTGAGAGGATCCCTCTTGTCCTTTGATGAATGTACCATTTCTTGGATTTTCTTAGTGGATCTGTAAACAGTTTGTAGTTTGTGGGTGAAAGTCAGGAGAGAATCCTTCAGGAACATGGTCATATAGCCCAGAAAACCCCCAGCAACCCAGTGATTCTGGCCATGAAACCCTTCAACAACACTTTGAACTTGGTTTCTCCTTCTCTGTGACTCTGTCTTCTACATACTACAACCAGTTTTCCAACTCTGGGTTGCAGAGAAATGCAAGGAGATATCATTTCTAAAATAAATGGGAGCTTTGGCACCCCATACAGTCATGCTGACCACATGAACTTCGAGGCGTCTATGGACAACGCTGGCTCTTTAGCTTTGAAATGAAGATGAGCACCAACCCCCAGAGTCGGACACGACTGGACTTAATGTCAAAGGACAACCTTTATCTTTACTTTAAATAGTATTGCCTTCCAAAGACAGCACATAATTTCTAAAGTTTCAACAATGTTTCTTGCAGCCATTCCCCACCCTGCACCCAATTCCCAAAGGAGCCCTACTTGCACTCTAAACTCCCAGCACAACTAACAGGTCTGAAAACATGAGAATCATTGAGTGTGGTTTGTCAGACGACAGGAAGCAAAGTGCTATAAATTCTGAGCCAGACTATAGTAAGTAATTTACAAAGAACATCTTGTAGAGTCTTTATCCCATTCCATTATCTCAAAGAAACTGTGATTTTCATGAAGAGTGGGAAAACAAACATAGCCCCAAAGATCCTTCTTGGTTTTTAAAAACTTGTGTGCAACCAGTTTCTTTCTAGTCTCAGCAAAGACACTAAATAAGGGAAAGGGCAGACAGGGAGTTATATTAATGAATAACCTGTTTCAAAGTATCCAAGAAGCAAAAGTAGTTGATTTTTTTTTCAAAGGTTCAGTCATTGTGTTTTATGTGAATCACACAATGGGTTGTTTAAGTCTGTAAATCAATCCTCTGCCCATTAACCCTCTGTCCTGATGGAACTAAGTGGAAGATATTTCAGCACAGACATCTATACGAATGCACAGTAAATCAGCAAACCTGAATATAACTGGAGGATCACAGCATGAAGAATCTAACCAGAATGAAATCTAGAGAGAAATCTTGTACCTTTAATAATTACATAGTAGAAGCAATTTCAGGACATGAGGCTTGTTATATGGTTGTGTATCAAGTAACACCTGCTGAAATTCCTGATTCTACACAACAATTAAAGGTACAAGAGTCCTTTCCAAAGTCCAGTTTGGCAACCTGAAGTCTAATATTAGTTTTCTCGGTAGGGTGGCCAGATACAAAAGAGGGTAAATCTTTCGTACCTTTTAAGTTGTGTGGTATCGGTCTTGGGCATGACAAGTCACACCTGCTGAAGAAAAAAAAAGTGCAGTAAGCCTTGACTTGTGTCTGTTTTCAACTAATTTTCATGGGGATTTTTGTATTCTCACAAGCTTCTAAAGTTCAACTAAAAACACTTGGGTTTTTTTCCAGTTTCTGGGTCAGTTCCAAATTAGGCTTTCATTGTGTTGTCAGCCTGCTCCAAATACTGAATTTTACAAAGGACTGAGACATTTCCCTCTCCTATGTTTTCCCACAAGTTCTTCAGTATTTTTCATACAGTGTATACATATATTAAGGAAGACAAGACAGAATAACTGCAAAATGCATTTTTTTTGCACAATACTAGAAGCTGTCTCCCTGGAAGCAGCCTCTCTCCATTTGCAGCTCTTCTTCGGAAACTAAGTTCATCATCATCATCAACATCATCATCATCATCATCATCATTATTTCTAGACTGCCCTTTCTCCCCAGAGGGACTCAGGGTGGTTTATACACAAGAAAAGCAAACATGCAATGCCTCAAAATGGACACAAACACATCAAAATAATATAGGACCATTGTATTAACATAACAACAAAAAACTTACAACAAAAGAATTGTGCATCAAAATAAAAATAAAACAGAAACAATCCACTAAGACATAAAGAAACATGGGTAAACATTACAATATACCCCCTAAAAATTAAGAAACATTACATTAAAAATGGCTGATGCTGATGCTTCATTTAAGGTGTATCATAGCAGCCATATAATTCCAATGGGTTAGACACCATTCCAATGGTATAAAGTGTCCCAGTCCTCCTCCTCTCCGTATGTTAAAGTGCATAAGTGCATGTTTAGAAGTTTCTTAAAGGAAAAGAGGGTGGGGGCTGTTTTTGTTTCCTTAGGGAGGGAGATCCATAGATGGGGAGCAATTACAGAGAAGGTCCCCTCTCTCGTTCCCACCAAATGAGCTTGTGACTGGGGCGTGGGACTGAGAGGAGGGCTTTCTCTGTAGACTGCAGTGCACATGATGGAGGAGGTGTGATTAGACAAATAGCCTGGATTCAAACCATTTAGGGCTTTATAGCTAATGACCAGTACTTTATATTTAGCCTGGAAGCAGATCAGCAACCAGTGAAGCTCTTGCAGCATGGAAGTCATCCTTTCACAATACAGCACTCCAGTTAGCAATCAAGCCACTTTGTAGCTTCTTTTTGATTATATATTCTCCTTTACTGAGTGGGGAGCTGAAGCTGACATCTTATGAAAACTTTCTTGGGGGAAAGACTGAACAACCACAATGGGTCTTACTTCTGAGGATATATGGATTGGATTATGCCTGGAGTAGGTAATTTGGACTGCGGTTCCAACCATTCTTGACTAATGGCAAGAACAGGGTTTCTTGAATTTTTCCACTCGGGGCCCCTTTAGCCAAGCATTTTTAGGTGACCCCAGGTATATAAAATAGGTATACAAATCAGACATTTACTGATAACAAGTCAGCATTTGCAAGACTAGTTAAATGCCTTGTTTTTTTTCTTTTTATGAAAAACAGCTAAAGCATCCTCTACATAGTCTACTGTAAACACTGCACAAAAGATTCATGCAAATGTCTAAAATAGCTACTAGAAGGCATACATAAAAATTAAGACCCCAACATTGAGCTAAATGGAGTTAGGAGTTAGGAGCCACAGTTTGAGAAGTAGTGGACTAGAACTGCTAGGATTAACATTTGACTGGCTGGCTGAGTTAGGTCTAACCCTGTTTCCTCAAAGGCACCCCCCCCCCCAAACCAGGGCTGCTTATTGACACTAAACAATTATACCACTATTATTCCACTTTAATTACTGAGGTTCCACCCATGAAATCCTGAGGTTTATAGTTTGCCAAGGCACTGGCATTTTTTGGCTGAGAATTCCAAAGGCTGCAAATCCCATAATTTCATTGGATGACACCACGGCAGTCTGTGGTATCATGGTGCCATAATATGATAGTATTAATGGGCCCAAAAAGAAACCATATTAACCCCCTCCCCCCCAAAAAAGAACAGTTGACACTCCATTGCTTGATTTCTGCATCCACAGAATCAACCAAGCACAGCTCAAAATACTCTGGGGGTTGTTCACAATTTTATATAAGCCACTTTCTTACTCTTTTGTATATAATGAGAACTGACAATCCATGGACTTTAGTTTCCACAGGGGTCCAAGACCCAAACTCCAATATATACTGAAGACCCACTGTAGTTAACTGCTGTTGTACCTGACAAAAGCAAATCTCTATTTATCAGGTTTCACCGGTCAAGCAATCCTTCCAATCTCCAGTCCTGAGGCCTACTGTCATAAAATCATTGACCTGGAAATAACCTTAAGGTCATGCAGCTCATCTCCCTCTTTCTTTAGACATAAAAAGCAGATCGAATCTCCAGGTTTAAAAGCAACTGGGTGCACTTTCCCCCCAATTGAAACACTTCTGCTACCCACACTCCCAGGGAGGGAATAAAGACCTTCTTTCCCAAACATGTAACAGTAGTTTGGAGATTTTGACTATAATTTCCATCTTCTCACACTCCCCAGTTGGGTTCCCTACAAAGGAAACAGAGTGATATCACCTTTTTAAAAGACAACAGGCAATCTGCTTACAGGACTTGTGTCCCCCAACCAACTCCAAATGAACCAAAACAATATAGGAAAAGTCAAATAAGCCCATAGCTTGCCAGGTTTCGGGTTCAGCAAAGATGGTTTGCAACACAAGCCAATGAAAAATCATTTTGTGATGGATTGCTTTTAATTTTAGTCTTGTTTTTTTCCATTTTTATTGTTTTTGATTTGATGTACTATTCAAAAACTATGACTAAAGCTGATGGGAGTTATGATATAGTAACATCTGGAAGGCTGCAATATAATTGCCCCCCTATATCAGATAGATTTATTAATTAATCTATTTCTTTACAGCATTCATATTCCTCCCTTCTCACCCCTAAGGGGACTCAGGGTGGATCACAGAACACATACACGGCAAACATTCAATGCCGCTAAACAGACAAGACAGACAAGTCTAAGGCACTCTCGGGATTTTTCTTCAGCACCACAGTTCAAAAGCATCTACCTTCCTTCGCTCAGTCTCCCTTATGGTCCAGCTCTCACATCATAGGTTACCACAGTGAATACCACTGCTTTAACTATGTGAAGGAGCTGGGGGTGGTGACGGCTGACAGGGAGGTCTGGCCTGGGCTGGGCCATGAGGTCCGAAGAGTCGGAAGCGACTGAACGAATAAAAAACAAACAAGGATGTGGGCCTTCATTGCCGCTTAAGGGACTGAGGGGGAAAGGAAGGGGCCTGAGGTTGTTCGGAATGGTGGGAGTTGAAGTCCAAAACACTTGGAGGGAGGACCCAAGTTTGCAGCATTTTCTCCTGACGTTTGGCCCGCCTCTGTAGCAGGCGTCTTCAGAAGCTCAGGTCTGGGAATCTCAGGGACTCCCTTCCTTGGCCTCAGCAAGCAGCGGGCTCCTCCCTCTTCCTCAGGTAAAACAAGGCGGAGGAGGAGGAGGAGGAGGAAGATGGCTTGGAAGGGGCGGGGGGAGGGCCAAGGCGAGGGTTGGTGGCGCTGCCCGGCTCCCGCCTCGTCAGCCATATTGCAGCAGCAGCACCGCCGAGGGAGGGAAGGCAGCGACGCCCACAAGCTCCAGGGACCAGCAGCGGCAGAGCCGACGACACGCAGCCAACCCCGCCGCCGCCCTTGGGTGTTGCAAAGAGAAGTAAGTGTCTCCCTCCCTTCCGTGTGCCAGCCCCTTCCTTCCTTCCCCACTTTGGAGGGTCTTTGGTGTGTGCTGGGGGGGGGGGGGGGGAGGAGAGGACGAGGCTGGGGCGGCTTTGTGGCGGCCGGGGGAGGGAGCGCCGGCAACAGGTGTCGTGGCGGCGGGAGGGAGAGGGATTATCCCTCTGCTTGGATGCCCCCTCCTTCCTCCTGAGCGGGAAAAGCGCCGGAAAGGTTCTCGGAAGAGGGCTCTTCTCCCCCCCCCTCTCCAGAGCCCTCCTCCTCTCTTCTCCTGCAGCTTCCAACAGCTTTTTTCTTTCTTTCTTTTGGTTAATGAATACTTTTGTAACTTCTTTCCGCGAGAGTTGACTCAGACTCGGATGTTTCGCCTGAAAAGAAGGGGAGTCCGGTCAGAGCCCAGACTCCTCGGTGGGGGATCTCACTCTCTCTCAAGAGGAAACTTCACGGACTTGCTCTCCGGGAAGTAAAAACTTCGCGCGAGTCGAAAGCCCTTCCACACAGCCAGGATTTCGGGGGGGGGGGGGCTGAGTCTGAGTGAAAGAGGGTCTACCCTAGCAAACCTTTTGTATCATTACCCCAATACCCCCATGCATATGGGATATATTGAGTAGGGCGGTGTAGTTAAAATAATGCACCAGTAAGAGCTTTTCGCGAACCACCATGAGAATTTCGGGGGGGGGGGGTTAAGCCCCCCCTCAAGGCCCCCCCCCCCGGCCCTTCCACACAGCCCTATCTCCCAGGATATCAAGGCAGAAAATCCCACAATACCTGCTTTGAACTGTGTTGTCAGAGTCCACATTCAGATATTGTGGGATTTTCTGCCTTGATATTCTGGGATATAGGGCTGTGTGGAAGGGCCCTAGAATATCAAGGCAAAAAATCTCACAATATCTGCTTTAAACTGGAATATATGGCAGTGTGGACTCAGATAACCCAGTTCGAAGCAGATAATGTGGAGTTTTCTGCCTTGATATTCAGGGGGCCCTTCCACACAGCCTTGTCGTGGGGCCCCGTGTTTGCTTTGAGCAATGCAGGCTCAAAAACATCACCTTGAGGACCCTTCCACACAGCCATATAACCCAGAATATCAAGACAGAATAACCCACAATATCTGCTTTGAATTGGAATATCTGAGCCCATATTGCCATGTATCCCAGTTCATGTGGGATTTTATTCAGCTGCATGGAAGGATCCTCAGAGAGAAGGAAGAGACTTGCCTCCCAAGCCTTCCTTGGAAAGGTGGCGGAAACTGAAACAGTTCCTGCCCAAGCTGGAAAGAGTGTTGGTTACATCATACCTGCATGTTGACCTATCAATCAGGAAATCTTTTGCTTACTTTCAAGGCATCCAAAGTAACAATGAAGCCACATCTTGCCTTCTTCAGATGGTCAAGACATCCCTAAAGTGGAATACATTGATTGTTTTCCCCCAAAATGTATAATATATAATTTTAGTGTTTGATTTTAAGTCTATGCTTTCATGTAATGCCTGGCCTCTGTGAAATGCCTACTCAAGAGTAGTTTCATCAAGGGCCTAGTCCAGGCCTGGGCAAAGCTGGCCCTTCAGTTGTTTTGGACTTCAATTCCCACCATTCCTGGCAGCCTCAGACCCTTTCCTTTTCCCCCTCAGCCGCTTTGCCCAGGTCTAGACTAGTCATTGCTTAAGTGCAGTTAGTAAAAAAAGTGCATGGTTTCAGAAGGAGAAGTTTACTAAAAGGGGTTTCCTGGCCTCTGTGTTGCTTGGAGACTTGGCTGAGATAATCCCCTCCATCCATCTACCCAGCCCAGCTCCTTCCCTCCCTGGAAAAAGATCTCTTGAAATTATAGGTGCTACTTGCTCAGGGTGTGGCGGCCCAAGTGGCCTTCCTTCCTTCCTTCCTTCCCATTCGGTTCTTCCTTCACTGGGTGAGGCTCCTGGCTTTATGTTTTCTTCTCAAGCAGTGGCGTTACTAAGTAATTATTGGTCATGAATGAATCATCGCTGCTTACTTAACCTGCTTAAAACTCCTGTACCGTGCCGTGCATGCATCTCTTCCTTTGACTCCCATGTAATAAGTATCCGGATTCTTGGCTCAGGTCTCTCAGAAGAAAGGAGGAGCCCCCTCAGGCTGCTGCATGAACATTTGCTTTCGGACCAAGAGGAATACTTCAAGAACCGAAAATGCCAAAACCAGTAAGTGTTTGTCTATCTCCTGCTGCAGTTTCACACTGCTTCATAGTGTTACAGAAATTATGGAGATGTAGAATTGATTATTTCTATTAACTATTTGAGTATGCAAGTGTATGTAACTGATTCTGTTGTCATGTACTTTAAAGTTAACTCTGACTTATGGGTCCCTTCTCATAACAGGATATAATATATAATATAATATAAATAAATTGATATAAATAAAAATGTAATGTTCGTATGTGGGATTAACATAACTCAAAAACCACTGGGCGAATTGACGCCAAATTTGGACACAATACACCTATCAGCCCAATGAGTGACCATCACTCATAAAAACACTGGAAAAAACACAACAGAAGACACTTAAAAAGCTAAAAAACAAAAATTACATTACAACGCATGTGCAAAACCACACACACACACGCACGCACACGCAAACACACATACACACATAAAACACATATACATGGACTGGGCCACAGCAACATGTGGCAGGGGATGACCAGGATAATATAAAAGGATGTATTCAGAGGGGATTTTCCATTGCCTTCCTCTAAGGCTGAGAGTATGTGACTTGCCCAAGATCATGTAGGGGGTTTCCATGGCTGAATGGAAATTCAAAGCCTGGTCTACCAGAGTCCTTGCACATACTATTATACTATACAAACTCCTGAAATTGAGGATATAGCACACATATTATTTGATTGTAAATTGTACCAGAAGGTGAGAGACTTGTACCTTGATCCATGTATCAAATGGACAATTTATTGGGAATCTCACATCAGAACAACATATTTTTTGTGTGGCCAAGACCAAAAAATAACATATAAAACAACTCTATTTTTTAGCAAAGCAATACATCTGATAACTACATATGTGGGGCAGATTGGGATAAATGGTAGGGGTGATAGAGAAACATGATGTATATATTCAGTTTTATCATATTATTTACTGTATTGTTATAAGTTTTTTTTATCGAACTTACTACATAAAGTGTAATCAAGTTTGATCAAGCCTTTTTGTTTGTTTTGGTATTGTGATATGACCTGAGGGTAAATCAATACATTGACTATGAGGAGCGTCTACAAACTCCGTTCCTTTTCTGGTGTCCTAATTAAAATGATTTTTTTCTTTTTAAAACAAAACTATAATACAATTTTAAAAGTTTGAATAAAATTATAATTGTAGCCAATTCAATTCTTAATGTTCGGGTTTTGTAATCAGTCTAAGTGTGAGTATAGGCCTACGGACACGGGCAAACTTTGGCACTCCATGTGTTGTGGACTACAACTCCTACAATTCCTAACAGCCTACTGGCTGTTAAGAATTGTGGGAGTTGTAGTCCACAACACCTGGAGTGCTGAAGTTTGCCCATGCCTGGTATAGTCCTATGGCCACTGTCCTTGGAAGTAACCCCATAACTCTACAAAGAAAGTTGCAGAAAACTCTGAAAAGTCTGCTCATAATTTCTTCTCATGTTGCATTAAAAATAAAACTTAACCTTTTGGATGTTTTTATAAACCTACATTTGTTTGTATGCCCCAGATGATTTTTTAATTATTATTAGACTCAAAATATTATTGGACTAAAGGTTTGCCTGTTGCCCACACTGCCATAGTTTCATTCCAAAGACGGTGTGATATGCAACACCATGGAGGAGAAAGGCATCTTCAGCTGAACTCATTTTCAAGTCAAAAACAAAATTATGCCTAATTATGGGTTTTTAAATATTGCATAGGTCTTCATAATGACAGGGGAGGCAACTAATTCTTGCTGCTTCCTTTATTTAATTAGTACTATGTTTACAGGAAAATGCTTTCAAAAGCAAACAATACACATTTCTATGACATGTTTATAACTATGGAGAGGATTTAGTGTTGGTTTTTTTTTCTTGCTTAAAGATTTGATTTCAAAAGGTTTCTTCGACCCCTTCTGATCTTGGACTGTACATTGACGCTGAATGGCTGTGTTCTAAATTACTTTGCACAGGTCACATGGAGGCAAAGAATGTGCTTCTCTTGCAGAATTGGTATCTAAGAAGCCGGTTTAATAATGAACTTTAGTTTTAGAGGGATGGCAGAGTTCATTAGCTCAAGAGAATGAGTTTCTTTCAGAAAGATACTGAAATATTAACTTGCTCAGTTCATGCTTTAGTAAATGGCCAGTAAGTCCCTAAAGTGAATATGTTGGTTAGTTGCCCCTCAAAATTTGCAATATATAATTTTGGTGTTTAAGTTTAAGTGTATGCTTTGTCTAAGTTGATATCATCCCTGGACTCTTTGAAGAAAGGTAGGATGATGGTGGCGATGGTCAAGAAGAAAATAATACCATACAAGTGACCCTAGGGATTAGCAGTATAAATGAGATGTTCATAAGTTTAGTTAAGTAGATAATTATTTCTAAGAAGAATTAATATGATGGCATGTTGAAGCTCTCCAGAGATAAACAGAAGTGGGCTGATGCTCTGGGTCCCAAAACTTTAGCTTACCATTCTTCAGTTGTTGAAGATTTTAGTATGTCACTATATTTTATATGTTGTCGAAGGCTTTCATGGCCAGAATCACTGGGTTGCTGTGAGTTTTCCAGACTGTATGGCCATGTTCTGGAACATGGCTATACTGCCCAGAAAACTCATAGAAACCCAATCACTATAATCTTCTTGAAAGTAATTTTCCAAATCCTGAATGGACAATACGTTTTCTTATTACTATGATTTGAATCCTCTTCACTTGAGGGTGGGTGGGGGTCAGCAAACTCATAGTAAACTGAGACATTGCAACAGAGGAAGCCAACAGGACTCAGGAGAGTCCACCTGCTAATCACTGCAAGAGACTTTAACTCCTTGATCCTCTGTTTGCTTAGGGAGGAGTAAGTCTCAATTAACTTTGTTGAAGTCATTGTGAGTTAAAAGACAGGCCATTAAGCCTTCCACATCCCCACTATAGCATTTTCTGAGGAAGTTTATTGGAGGGGGGCAGAGGGAACCCAGTAGTTTGTGCTCCTAAGACAGACAATAGCTCTTACTGCTCCCAGTCTGGCATCTGGGACACCTGTTTCTATGTATGTGTGAGCAAACTATGTAAAATCCGTTCTCTCAAGGAATTAGGATCAGCTCCAAAGCATTTGAAGTCTGAAAGGGTTTTTTTTGGGGGGGGGGCAGAGCCTGTATAGAGAGGTCTTTTGCCACTGTCAATTGTTACCTCAAAGTGCTGGGAAGATCCATCTCCTTTGGCATGAAATGTTTAGATCAGGGGTCCTCAAACTAAGGGCTGGATGCTGCCCTCCAAGGTCATTTACCTGGCCCTCGCTCAGGGTCAACCTAAGTCTGAAACGACTTGAAAGCACAAAGCAACAATAACAATCCTATCTCATCAGCTAAAAGCAGGCTCACACTTCCTATTGAAATACTAATGAGTTTATATTTGTTAAAATTGTTCTTCATTTTAATTATTATATTGTTTGTAAGTGTTTTTTTGCACTACAAATAAGATAAGTGCAGTGTGCATTGGAATTCATTCAATTTTTTTTTCAAATTTTCATCCGGCCCTCCAACAGTTTGAGCGACTGTGATCCGGCCCTCTGTTTAAAATATTTGAGAACCCCTGATTTAGATAAATGATTCCCATCCTTTTTTGACCAGTGACCATTCTTCAACATTAGTACCAAAAGGGTTATGAATCAGTTTTTGGTCGACTTTAGATTCGGTTTAGTCATTTGGGGTGCTGATTCAGAAAATTGCATTAGATAGACCACATCAGCTCTAGTTTCTGATACAGAACATACGCCATCCAGTAGTCACCACCTACTCACCCACAGAATACCATATTTAATAATCTAGAGCTAATGTAGTAGTAGTAATCTTTCGTGGGTAGTCAGCCTCTACCCCCTGCCCCCTCCCCATCGCAAGACCAGTCACTCTTGTGTCGCGTGGTTTTGAGGCAACGGTGTAGTAATGATGAGGCCGCTGACCATTTTTTCATTCTTGCAGACCACTAGTGTTCCATTGGACTACAGTTTGGGAATCACTGGTTTAGATTAAGATCCAGTTATATAGTCATCTCCTTATATCTACAGGTTCTGCACTTACACATCTATTTATCAACATTTTGAAAATATAAAAACATCCAAAACACTAAGTTGGATTTTTCAATTTTATATAAGGGACACCATTTTGCCATGCCATTGTATAAAATGGGACTTGTGACTCCACAGGGATCCTAGAACCAAACCCCAGTGGACATCAAGGGCCCACTATATTCAAACTGCTGGTATCTTCATATCATTAAGAACCTAATGTATAAAGGTGCTAAGTGATCTTCGTGGCTTCTTCCTTTTATTGTGGACTTTTCCCTTAGGTTCAGCATAGTTTCACAGGTGTGGCAAGTTGGGCCCATGTGGGTTGTAATAGTTAATGCTGTGACTTGAGAAAAGATAAATGTGTTTGCCAATTGCTGATAGCTGATTCCACCCTTGGAAACTGAGTTGTTTATTTAATCACATGTGCATGGAGCGATGTTTCTCTGCTCAGATCAGACTTATATAATTTATTCTTTTTGTTGAAGCTGATTCTTTAAAAAATGGAATGAGCAATTAAGCTTTATCAGTCTCAGAATCATCAGATCGCTATTTCTATTTACATTTCTACAGCATTTGCAGTTTTTCAATTGTGGAAAAAGAAGTGCAGTCTTTTCTTATCTCCAAAACTATCCTCAGAGCATTCTCTCAAACAACTGAAGACTGCCATTTTACCAGGTGGTTTGACTGGTTGTGGCTGACTAGAAAAAGGATTTGAGATCATAGGATAATCGGCCTCTTAAAATTATCAGCCCATCATGTAGCAGTTTTGAAAATGACAAATGATGTCCTAGGGATGGGTGAAAGGAAGTGGTAGTATTTCCCATAGTTACAATCCTATGTACCATTGTGGTTGTTGCACCTTAGAAATGATGCAGAGAAGGGCAATATAAAGGCTGAACCAACATGTCTGTAAGTAAATATTTGAC